ACATCCTTGCCAACATTTAATGTTATCTGTATTCTTGATAATTGCCATTCTTACTGGAGTGAGATGGAATCTCAGTGTAGTTTTGATTCGTATTTCTCTAATTGCTAGAGACGTTGAATACTTTTTCATATATTTGTTAACCATCATTCGTATTTCTTCTTCTGTGAAGTGCTTGGAGAACCACCATCTTTACAAAGCTTATCACTGGGAATATTATGTGTTTCTTCACTTGTTCAAGACCATCGCTCAAAAGCTTCAGCTTAGTCTTTGCAGTTTTCTTCATGGAGGAATTTCACTATCTTGTTGCTTTTACAGATATGCTTTTGTGCATTAAAATGTGGCACTGGTCAATGTGGCTATGAAGAAAGCTGTTGATTTTGTATATTAATTTTTATGTAAATATTCTTTTAATTACTAACTTCTGATTAATTCTCATCTTTATTAGAGTGTTTTCCTGGATTTTTCATACATATAATCTATTTTTTTTTCTTTCTTTTTTTTTTGGTACCAGGGATTGAACCCAGGGACACTTAACCACTAAGCCACATCCTCAGCCCTTTTTACATTTTATTTAGAGTCAGGGTCTCACGGAGTTTCTTAGGGCCTTACTAAATTGCTGAGGCTGGCTTTGAACTCTCCATCCTCCTGCCTCAGCCTCCTGAGCCACTGGGCCTGGCTAATCTAATAATTTTATTTCCTCTGTTCCAAGGGTCATTGGTCATTGTTGCTGTTTCTTAATCAGACCTATTGATGTGATGTATTACTTTATAGATTTCCTGATACTAAATCATTCTTGTCTTCCTTGGATAAAAATCTACTTGGTTATATTGGATTCATTTCCTGGTATTTTACTTGAGACTTGACGTCTATTCACATTACAGGGATCCTTGTTCACAATTTACTGTTAGGAGTTTGTGTCAGAGGGACCTGGTTGGAAAGTGTATCTTTTCCTGATTCTGAGTCAGTCTCCAAAGGAGAGCAGTTATCTAATTCTTTGAAAGTTTGAATGAATTTACCTACAAAAGTCATAAATTTAGAGACTTTATAAAGGTAAATCTTTCATAACTTTTCATTTTATGTTTTTTTCATCTATTCTGGATTTTTCCTTTTTAAAGTAAAGTTGGATGATGTTTATGTTCTGAAAAATCACCCATTCCATTCTTTTTTTTTTCAAAATCAAAGTCATATTCATTTTCACGTCTTATTTCACTTCTATTGCTTCTTAATTTTATATATAGCTTTCTTTCTCTAATTAATTAATTTCCAGCTTTATCTGGGTTATGTCCTTTTCTGTATTTCCTTAGCTGTGGTTTTATTAGCTCAGTTGGGTTTTTGTCTTGTTTTGTTTGTTGATTTTTTTTTTTTTTTTTTTGTTCCTGGCACTTGGGGTTAAGCCCAGAGATACTTCTACCACGGAACTTTGCCTCCAGCCCTTTTGATTTTTTTCTTTTTTTTTTTCTTTTTTTTTTTTTTTTGACAGGGTCTCACCAAGTTGCCCAGGCTGGCCTCCAACTTAGGTTCTCCCTCCTCAGCCTCCCAAGACACTGACATTCTAAGTGTATGCCACTGGCTCAGCAGTTTTTTAACTTTTTGAGCTGCATGTTTGGAGTAACACTGTCAGACAGACAAATGTGTGATTTGAAATTTAATAATATATTTTATTTAACTCAGTACACCCCACATTTCAATGGGTTCTAAGCCTTTTTAAAATATGAAACATTTTGTGTTCTTGTTTTTATATAAATCTCTGAAAAACCCTGTCTACTGTACATTCACAGAACATGTCAGTTTGGTTAGCCACATTATAAGCACCCAATAATCATACATATCTAGTGTTTATCATATTGGAAAACAGAGGTTTAAGTGATACATTTTCTTCCTTTATTTAATAGCCAAAATAGTTAAAACTATAAATTGACCTCTTATCATAACTTGGGCCACATCCTACCGGTTTTTATGGCTCTTTGTTTCCTAAATAATCTATTGAATATTTGATTATTTCTTATCCCATCTTTCTTTAAGAGGATACCTTTTAAATACATAAGTAATTTTTTTTTTTTNGTTATGTCCTTTTCTGTATTTCCTTAGCTGTGGTTTTATTAGCTCAGTTGGGTTTTTGTCTTGTTTTGTTTGTTCCTTTTTTTTTTTTTTTTTTTTTTTTTTTCTTTTTTTTTTTTTTGAGACAGGGTCTCACCAAGTTGCCCAGGCTGGCCTCCAACTTAGGTTCTCCCTCCTCAGCCTCCCAAGACACTGACATTCTAAGTGTATGCCACTGGCTCAGCAGTTTTTTAACTTTTTGAGCTGCATGTTTGGAGTAACACTGTCAGACAGACAAATGTGTGATTTGAAATTTAATAATATATTTTATTTAACTCAGTACACCCCACATTTCAATGGGTTCTAAGCCTTTTTAAAATATGAAACATTTTGTGTTCTTGTTTTTATATAAATCTCTGAAAAACCCTGTCTACTGTACATTCACAGAACATGTCAGTTTGGTTAGCCACATTATAAGCACCCAATAATCATACATATCTAGTGTTTATCATATTGGAAAACAGAGGTTTAAGTGATACATTTTCTTCCTTTATTTAATAGCCAAAATAGTTAAAACTATAAATTGACCTCTTATCATAACTTGGGCCACATCCTACCGGTTTTTATGGCTCTTTGTTTCCTAAATAATCTATTGAATATTTGATTATTTCTTATCCCATCTTTCTTTAAGAGGATACCTTTTAAATACATAAGTAATTTTTTTTTTTTTAAGTTGTTGCTAATTCTTGGTCCCAGTGTCTAACCCATACAATTTCTATGTTTTGAAAATTATAGTGGAATCACAGTTCACTATAAGGTTGCTTTAATTTAGACTTATTAATACTACTATTTAAATAATTCTATTATTTAAATCATCTTGCCCATTTCACCAATAATAGAATGTTAGTAGTTTCATTTCCTAGTACAATTTTTTTCCTTTATTTATTTTTCTTTTCTCTCTTCTCTCTTTCATTTTCTGTTTTCAGTTCTACTAACAATCTACTAGTGTTTGAACATTTTTTTAAAATGTACTTTAACTTATATTTCTATGATTATCACACTTAGGCTTTATTTATTTTTCATCCCCTTCCCACAAGTATTTACCAGTTGTCAGTAATCTTGGATTATTAAGTCACTACTACTATGAAACTATTATTTATTTTTAAAACTAAATATCAGCCAGGCATAATCACTTGAGCTCAGGAGCTTGAGACCCACCTGGGCAGCAGAGTAAGGCTCTGTTTCCAAAATTAATAATGAGGATGTGAGGACGATCTGGCTTTTATACCTGTCACCCCATTGATCTCCAGGGTAGGTACCCCATCGCTAGGTAGATGTCCCCTTGCGCCCTCAACACTCCATGTGTGTCCCTCCTGAAGCTGTGTGCTCGGTAGAGGAGGATGACCTTTGCAATAGAGGGGGAGCTTTCTTTGACCAAGGGTATCCCAGTAGCTGTGCTTCCCTGCTAAAACTCCAAACAATCCTTCAGGGTCCAAAACTAATAATGAAGTTTAAAAAAAAAAAAAAGGTTGTTAAAATAAAAAAAAAATCTTCTCTTACAAAGATTATGTCTAGTTTTTGATTCACTCTATAACCAAAATTGCTACTTTTTTTTTTTTAAGTACCAGGGAATGAACCCAGGGGAACTTAACCGCTGAGCCACATCCCCAGCTCTTTTTTTGTATTTTATATGAGCATCTCACTGAGTTGCTTATGGCCTCACTAAGTTGTTTCATTTCCCAGTATAATTTTTTCCTTTTATTTATTTTTCTTTTCTCTCTTCTGTCTTTCATTTTCTGAGTCTGATTCTGTCTTGCAATCCTCCTGCCTCAGCCTCCCTGTCTACTGGGATTACAGGCATATACCTCCGCAGCCAGCTATAATTAATTATTTTGACTGGATTTCATGCATTTACCTGATTTTCCCTTCCCATTCCTCTGTACTATGATTTCCTCAGACTTGAGTCATAAATTTTGTTGGCTGGAACATGCATTCAAGTAAGATAAAAGTTTCAAGCAACTTTATCGTTTTGTAGCTGGGTAGGGTTAACTCACACTCCAAGACTTTTTCATCTTGCAAAACTGAAACTCTGTACCCATTAAATGACTCCCCTGCCTCCAACCCTAGGCATTCTTTCTGTTCTATGAGTTTGACTACTCTAGATGCTTGTTCCTGTCAGAATCCTAGCTTCTTTGAAGGCTCTGCTTTCCAGTTGAGAGTAGTAACTCCTGCCTCTGAACTCCAAAGTCCCTTTACTGGAACCCTTGATGGCTTTTAACCCCATCTCTCTTGTATCATAGTTAACAGGGAACCCGCCTACCCTAGCCCCTAGGCCAGCCCCTGGCAGGTAGCACAGTAATACTCTAAGGAGGGAGAATGAGTGAGTGAAGGAACGCATGCTTCAGTTTTCCTACTGTCTTCTAGACCCTTTGCAGGCAGGGGCTGTACTTGTGTTTCTAGCCAACGGCCAGGGCTAAAAATGGGCCTGGGTGACCAGTTGCTGGCCCTGTTGGCAAGGGTGTGTTCTGGTTACCCTCCCTGATGGAGAGGTTGTGATACGGAGCTTAGCCAAAGGAGACAGTGTAGCCACAGGGAGTTGAAAGAGGGAGGGGAGCAGTCTAAGAAGGCTGTCATCCCGATCCCATCCCCCCCTCCTCAGTCTTGGGGTCACGAAGGCAAGATTTAAGGGCCTCTGGGAAGGAGGGTGGTGACCTGCAGCATGCCTGAGCAACATTGGGAAAAGATGAATCTGTGCCCCAACACAGCGACACCTGGAGAAGAGGTGTAGAGGCCTCCAGTCAAGGTGGTCCCGCTGCCCCAGAGAGTCCACAGGTCACCCACCCCATCGTCATTTAAGACATGGGGTTTGCCTGCTGCCCAGGGCGGCCCTTGGACAGCAGGTTCTGTGGCACAGCGGCTTGTGCCCGGGCCCCTCGCTGACACAGTCTTTTGTGCCCCCACAGAAGGACTTCACAGTGCGCGAGGAGCTGCAGCAACAGGACGTGGAGCGCTGGCTCGGCTTCATCACCTTCCTGTGCGAGGTGTTCGGCACCATGCGCAGCAGCACAGGCGAGCCCTTCCGCGTGCTGGTGTGCCCCATCTACACGTGCCTCAGGGAGGTAAGAGCCGCAGGCCCCGCCTCCGCCGGGCCCCGCCCCGACAGGCCACACCCCGGACCACGCCCCCGGCCGGGCGCATCCTGGCCACGCCCCCGGCTCGCAGAAATGGCAGCTCGGGCGAGAAGCGCTAGAAAGCTGCAAGGTTGCATAGCTTATAAATGCTTTGGTAAAGAGAGACGTCATTCCCCATGCCTCTCCGTCGAAAGCCAGGTTTTCATTTATTAGGTCTACCTAAAGAACTACTTTAACTCAGACTTCAGTAACTCCTAATCCAACACGCTGGCCACAGAGAGGAGGCCTAGGGTATTATTTCAATGAATTTTCTATAAAGAACATATTTACTTCTACATTTCATCTGAAAAAGGAATAAATAAGAATAACCAGGGCTGGGAGTGTGACTGAGCAGTAGAGTGCTTGTCTAGCACATGCAAGGCCCTGGGTTGGGTCCCTAGGAAAGGAAAAAAAGTAAATATATAAATTTTGAAGAAGCAAGAACTTCATGGGGCACTTGCCCTACAGAGTATCATAACACATTTTATAAGGTAATTCTGGCCGTTCTCAGGATAAATTTGAAAGGGGACAAAAAATGGAAGCTTGGAGCCCAACTGGGATTTCTTGGGACCCAGTATCAGCAGGGTGAGGTTGGGGGCTATGAATACAGCCCTGAGAAAGAGGAGGGAGAGGGGTGTTGAGTCCTGGTTGTATTTTTGAGTTAGAGCCAACAGGACATGCTGTTGGAGATGGAGGAAGAAACTAACAAGTTCTCTGTTTACCAACCTGTGGCCACATTTTCAAGAAGAGCAAATGCTGGAAGGGAAGCAGTATGGGGATGAGAACCGGGAATCAGTTTCGCGACATGACATTTGGGTCTCCTGTTGAGCACCCTTGGGTCCAAGGTGGATGGACAGAAGGGTTTGAGGCTCCGGAAGGGGTTACAGGGAGACAGGGGGTTCACTCGGGTTAAGTGTACATGTGCACCTGGTGCTGGAGCCTGGAGATGGATGGAGTCACTCAGAAAGAGGGTCTAGATGGGGAGAGAGGCGGGGTCATAGAGGGGGCGAAAGAGGAATGGCCTGGGCGGGCGGAGGCAAACCAAGAGGGTGAGGTGTCAAGAAGAGTCCAGAAGAGTCCATGAGAACCATCGCAGCCGCCCTCTGACAGAAGGTTCTGCAAGTCCCTTACTTCTGGAGTGCTGTCCCCTCCCACCCTGGCAGCCCTCTGCTACTACCAGGACACTGGGAGGGACAGGTTCTAGAGAGCCAAAGGACCAACCCAGAGAAGTGTCCTGGCTTTGGCCACAAGGAGGTCACGGGGACCTGGGTGTCAGTGGAGGAGAGGATGGATGCACGGGTGAGCCCTTCTGGAAGTCCGCACAGGGCCACGGGGTGGGGGTGGGGGGGCAGCAGGGAAAGGGCTCTGGTTGGCTGAAGGGGAGGGGTGGAGTCCAGGGACGTGTTTGTGTTTTTTGAATGGAAGAAGATAACAGAGCAATTTGAGCAGAGGCAGAGTTGTGTTTATGGTGTTTTCAGAGCCTCTGTTTATAGGACCATGGTGTGCTCATTCCAGCCTAAAACAGAGTGTGCAGGTTGGGACACTTGATAAGCCAGCAAGCCTCTGCCACTGTACAGGAAGAACCCTGTTTCTTTACAAATGTTCTTGAATTCAGACTTGTTTCCCCAGTCCCGCCGTCTACCTCTCCGGGCTAGTTCACGGTCAAGGGCCTTGGCCCAGCACGCAGCACCCACAGGGCTGGCAGCTTTGCCTTCCGGGTCCCTTTGGGTTGAGTTGAGGCAGGGAGCTTCCTGGATGGCCTCTGGGGTCCTCCCATCCTTGCCTGCATTGCCCTGTGCCTCTGGCCAGCCACCTCAAGACAGGGACAGTGCTGTTCTCGGGCAGTGRCCTGAATTGCCCCAGCAGGTTCCTTCTGTGTGATCTTAACACACCCCACCCCCATCCCGTGTTGTTGTCACCTGCTCCCTCAGCAGGAAGCAGGGCAGGGCTGTAGCTGAGCACTGGCCTGGCTACTGGGACACTTTTCACACCATCTGAGTTAGTGCAAACTTTCTGGCATGAGGTGCCAAAGGTACCAGGAGACCTACACAGACAAGAACAGAGAGCCCTTCCCAATGCACATTTGTTTGATGGATTAAACTTTGGGGGCAGAGTTTGAAAAACACAGACCCAGATCATGCTCATGGCAAACTTGAAGAGTAAATAAATCATTCATGCCATTCACCATTTTGTAAAAGAAGAAAACAGAGCCCCAAGGTAGAGCAGGCTCCCTGATTCAGGCTACCCCAATGTTTCAATCCTAGCTCTGCGGTTTTTTAACTGTGCCATCTTGGGGGAGAGTTTACCTGCTCTGAGCTTTCCTCATCTGCATAGAAGCTCATTCTGCTTTTTCTGCAAGGGTTTGGGGAAGATGGGTTAGCATGGAGAGGGAGCCGAGTGCTCTAGGCCAAGTCGCTGAGCACAGAAGGAAGAGCCCAGAGGCCATATTCTGGGGCCTTCAGCTCTCAGAGAGCAGGGCTCCTCCCGGCTGATGGGGCTCAGGGACTGAGCAAATGCCTAAGCTTAAAGAGAACGTGGGCTGAGGGCCCTGACCATGGACACGGCCAAACCATGCTAGGCTGCCTGGAGTTCTTGAACTCCCACTCCACGAATCAGCTTCCCCAGAATGGGGCCTTAAGAAAAGGTGAGGACAGGGCTGGGCGCATGGGCACACACCTATAATTCCAGCGATGCGGAAAGCTAAAGCAGGAGGATTGCAAGTTCGAGGCCAGCCTCAGCAACTTAGCAAGACCCTTTCTCAAAGTAAAAAGGGCTGGGTGTGAGGCTCAGTGGTAGAGCTCTTGCCTACCATATGCAAAACCCTGGGTTCAATCCCAGTACTTAAAAAAAAAAAAAAAAAAAATGAGAATATTAGAAGGTGAACTAGGAATCTTGACAGTCCCTTTGGAGAACCTGAGACCTTTCTCAGCTCCTTGGAGAACCTTGCTGAGAGTCAGTTTTACCAAGTTTATGTCCCTGCCTGACCACAGGCTCCCGAGCAGGTTGAGGCCGCTCACTGAATTTCCGTAGCCAAAGGCCCTGCTGCAGGCCCCCCTTGTGCTGGGGAAGCTTGGGCTTTCCCCTGGTGCCATGGAGAGGTCTGACCCCAAATCTGCAGCACCCACTCTGCCTACCTAACTCCCAGAACCACCCCCGCCCATATTCCTAACTGCCCACTGGACCACCCCGGGTCTTGCCTAACCTTGGGCTCCTCCAACAAGGTGGGAGAACTGCACCCCAAAGCCCCCTTGCCCGGTCCAGGCCCCCCCGTGGGCCCAGACCCACTCCATGCAGCACACAGCGTCCCTGAAACTCCTCTAACTGCCCTTTGTCATGGACATGGGCCACAGCTCCAGTCCCTGCTTCTCCCTACCCCCATGGCCTCGGTTCTTTCCCCGAGTCACACCCAGGGCGCCGTCTCCATGTGAAGGGTCTCCTAGAGCAAGCCTAGGGGAGAGAAAATGTCCTTGTGACCTGCCCCAGTCACCTTTGTCCCTGGGCCTGGAGCCAGGCCATGTGCTCAGCCCCCAGGCCTGCTGGCTTGGAGGACACCAGCCCTCAGAGTCCCTGCCCCAAGACAAGTCCCCTGGGCACTTCTTCCCCACCCTGACTTGGCCAATTATCTGCTCAAGCCTGAAACCTGGGAGTCATCTCTGCCTCTGTCTTCCTGGCCCCGACACTTCCTGCTCGGCCCAGCCAAAGTCACCTCTTCTGTGGTGCTCCCCCGGCCCAGCCCACAGGACAGCTCCCAGGCAGCTCCCTCGTGGGGAACCCAACGCTCCACACTTGCCACCCCATCCTTGCCGCGTCCTTGGAACATTGGCTGATGGTTCCATCTAGTTGTGATAACAGCGCCTCTCGCCCTGTGGAAAGCACTGTCCAAAGCACTCTGGGAGTTCTCTTTCAACTTGTGCACCGACCTGCAGATAATCACCCCCATTTTCCAAAGGAAAACAGAGAGATCAGGCAACTTGCTGAGGGCCACACAGCCATCAAGTGGCAGAGTAAATAATATCTTAGATTGTGTTTGAGCCTCTTATGTGACCTATGGTTTGTGAATATCTTCTCCAGAGACTGTCTCTCGCTCTGATGATGAGTTTCTTTTGCTGTGCAGAGGTTTTTTAGTTTGACATGAGCCTATTTGTCTGTTTTCCTTTTTGTTAACTATACTTTTGAGATCCTATCTCAAAATCATTTCCAGACCAATGTCAAGAAGCTTGGTCTCTATGTTTTAAAGTAACTGTATAGCGTGAAGTCTTACATTTAAGTCTTTATAATTTAAGTCTTTATAATAAAGTTCAAGTTGATTTTTGCATGTGGTGTGAGATAAGGGTCCAGTTCATCTGTGGGTGACATCCAGTTTTCCCAGCACCACTTTTTGAAGAGACTGTCTTTCCCCCATGGTGTGTTCTTGGCACCCTTGTTGGAAACCAGTTGACTACAAACGTGTGGATGTATTTCTGGGCCCTCTTTGCTATACCATAAAATTTATGTCTGTTTCCATGCCAATGCCATACTGGTTAGACTACTATAGCTTTGTAATGTATTTTGAAGTTAGAAAAGGTGATGCTTCCATCTTTGTTCTTCTCCCAAGACTGCTTTGTCTCTTTGGGGTCTTTTGTGGTTTAGAATTTTAGAATATTTTAGCCTTTCCATAAAAATATGTTATTGGAATTCTTATAAGGATCCCATTGAATCTGTAGATCACTTTGGGTTTGTGGACGTTCTCTTGATATCTCAGAATGTTCCTGATTAATTGAAGATCTGGAACAAGACAAGGGTATTCAACATAGTCTGGAAGTCCTAGCCATAGGGATTAGGGAACAAGAAGAAGTGAAAGGTACCCAGATCACTAAGGAAGAACCAAAATTGTCTCCGACTGCAGGCAACAATGATCTTATATCTAAAAAAAAAAAAAAAAATGTTAAAGACTCCCTTCAAAAAACTAT